CGCCACGCTCCGTCGAGACTAGTTAAATCCCAAGTGTCGATTACTTTCTGCTCTCCCGCAGTAGTCGGCACGACAATATCATTATTCTGGAAAACCTCCTCTGTGCTTCAGTAACAATGGTGTATTCAAAATCATTAGTGATAACATCCACCAGCTCAAAGAGGAACTAGAAAATCCCAATGCTTGGTACATTGTGGAGTATCCCTCCATCCAAATATCCTGCAAAGACAGTTCTTGTATGCTTACCTGAGAAGTCAATTTATCATGAGTTTGACAAGTATCCTGTAACAACAATCCATTACATGCCAGTGTGGAGTGACAATGAGGTCAGTTCATGTAGGGCAAAGATTTTTCCTCATCATGATCCAACACTGGTTGAGGAATTGTTCAGAAAGTGGGGTGGAATCCCTCGATTTGTTCTTGAAAAAGCTGATGACTACCCTCAGCAAAAAAACCTTGATGATGAAATTAGTAAATGTGATACAAGTTTGTTTAACTATGTTGGTGACACTAATAATTATGATGGGGTAATCCACATCCACACAAACTCTCCAGATGAGGAAAACCTTGATGTTTCAAAACATTACCAGAAAAAAGTCCTACAGTTTGCATCTCAATATGTAAGTGAAAAGGTTATGACCAAAATCAAAAGCCATTTCAAGGAAGATTTATGCAAATTTCTGATGGCTGACATGCCACGACTTGGTACAATTCGTGGTGCCCTATTTGAGGAAGTTGCACATCAGATTCTGATACATGGAGGAAGGTTCAAGTATCGCCATTTAGATTCTATAACTACTTCTGACATTAAGCACATTCTACTGGATAAGCAGAATTGCATTGAATTTCAAGAAATTAGTCAGATTGAGGATGACAAATACTGCCGGCCACTACAAAAGAATTTCACATCTGTTGATGCAATCATTGCACCAACAATGCTCTTCCAGATGACCTATTGCCCAAATCATCCAATTAAGATCAGTGGGTTAAAATCTCTTCAAGAAAAGTTAGGTGGTCCAAATGCACAACATGAAATCATGTTTTTTTTTGTTCTACCAAAGCAACTATACTTGAGTTTCCAGAAACAACAATTTCTTACTTTAAAGAATACTGCTAATGAACAAAAGCCAGCTTGGATAACTAGATGCATTAAGCAGTATGCCTTAGAAATTGACTTGGATTCGGTGACAGAAATAAGACAGGTCTAAATGGTGATGATGTGAAAGGCTTTGTAAGTCTACAATTTGTAGTCTTTGCTATTAGTAAAATTCAATAGATGAAGAATCATCTAGTGCTAGTGAGTTGGAGACACAAAATAAAGAAGTCTATTATGTAGATGGATGGAAATAATAAAGCTCTAACAGCATATCCAAAAATTTAGTATTAATCTAAATTCACTTTCTTTGTTTGTGTTATGGTCAGGAATAAAATGGGGGTTTGAGAGAGCGATTTATCTTTCACATAGCATGTTCACCAACCAGGGAAGTTACCAGGCTTAGCTCATACTATCACCCTTACTATTATAGTTGTGCAATTAAGACTGAATTAAGTCTACAAGTGACCTACTAATTAATTATGTGCACTTTTCACTCCCTATCCAAGTTTCAAACACTCATGAATACATAAGGGCACCTCTAATAGAATAATAACAATTATTCTATTAAAGAATTGAAGGGGAATAATACTACAGTCAACCCTCTCTAACTGCATGCCCTTGGGAATGAGCTAGAGCATGCATTTAGAGAGGGATGCATTTACAGAGGGTCAGAATTTTATTTGTTGCATGTGACTTGATATGTATTAGTATGTTTATTCAATTAATATTAATCTATCATTGTTTGCTTCATTACACTCACTGCCTTTAAACTAATGGTTCAAGCACACCTGCTGTTTTGCAAACAGGATTAACTGGTGGTAAGTTGACTTATTAATAATATTTTTCTATTGAAGCCCCTCTCAATGTCATCAGCAAAAAAAATAGATCTCAATGAGCTTGACATAAGCACCTTGTCACTCCCTTTCAAAATCTGGGTAAAATATGGCAATGTGCAACCATGCAGGGTTGTATTTGACAGAGAAGTGGAAGATTTGAAGGAGGTGGTCAAGAAGAGACTATCACCCAAATTAAATGAAACTGACCTTGATCAGATTATCCTCTGCAAGGCTGACCTAGAACCAGGTGCTATAGTGGATTTGATTTCCAAAATAGTGACAAAAACCTGCTTCAAGTCATAGTGCCAAAAGAGGAATAAGGTGATTAGTGAGCAAATAATGCAATCAACTGTTGATTTGTGATCAAAAAAGATGGTTGACAGTTCAAAATGGTTATCATGGTGGGATACTTGTTTAAGGGACATTTGGAATGATGCTTGCTAACTTGTACTCTTTTACCTGCTTTACTTTCAAACAGGCACCATTAAAACGTAAATATGAAGATTTAAGAGAAATCATACACAAGATAAAGAACAAGATAGAAGAATCCGTAGAGAAACAAGTGACATCAAAACGTAAATATGAAGATTTAAGAAAAATCATAGAGAAAACAATAGAGAATGCATTCTCCCATCACAAGCAAGATACAGTCTCAGATCAAAGCTTTCTGGAGTAAGGATAGAAAAAATTCTGGATGATCTTGGATTATTGACTCTAGAAGTAAGTAACATCTTTCTCCATTATTTAAAGCATTCTTATAACTCATCTATTATCTAGTTATCAGAAGAAGACTTCTGATCGTTTCAGCCCCTGCACTGCCAACCTTTCCAATGGGATTTAGAGAGAGATAAAGATCAACAGATGCCTGATGTTAAGAGATGGTTTAAAAATGTTCTAAACCTGCCCAGGAATACTCATGTGAAAGATATTCATACCCAGGTGAAACACCAACGGCATTTGCAAGGAGCAAACATTACTATAATGGGCGGCAGCAATATATCTGTTGGACCAAGTCTGACTCCTTGCATCTGGATTGAAACTAAGAAATCAGTTGAGGATTTCATAGAAGGTCAAGCTATTGGAGCCACGTTTTGAATTCTATGGTCGTCTTGATGGATTGCAATGACCATTGGCTTATTTGCTTCTTCTCGAAAATGGAAAACCTAAACGATGAACAATGCCTGATAAAGTATACAATTAGTGATCTTGGCATGGCTTTAGCAATGATTCAGCGGTTTGTGCTTGAAGAGGCAAAGACAATCAAAAAAATCTTACATTGGTCGGAAAGCGACCCCGACCCCACAGCAAATTTACCCGCCTTACCTGTGCATCTTGAGAAGAGAACGAAATTTCGCGAACGCACACCTGAAGCAGGTGATGGCAGGTTAACAGAAATGGTTGGCGACATGTCAGAAACAGAATTATTCAATATGCAAATTCGCAAAAAGTTAAAATTGTTAAGAGATTGGTATGATATAGATCAACAGTCATATGTAGACCAACTTCTTAGACAGTTCGGTGATGATTATGAAAATCCACAGACTCTATCAGCCCGCGAAACCACTCAGGCGTCGTCGTTGGTGATAGGTTTTTCTTGAATATTGCTGTTATTATCAATCGCGTTTTTGCATTCGGCTTAACACCTTTTTCAAACATACACTGGTACAGCATGAACACGACGAGCACGAAAAAATCTGAATTGATTGAGAACATTTTTGTATCGAAGTGCGATGTTTTATTTCGTGCTTATTGGCGCTCGTTTTTCCCCAACCCAAACTTTGCTAGCATACGATATTGCGCATTTGATGTGGTATCGATTAGTTATTGGCTTTAGTTATCAAATGAGATATTACTAAATCCCAGATTAAAAGAGGTTCGTGCGCGCAATCAAACGAGGCATATTGAATGGGAGAGAAAAGGCGTAATTTTTTGATAGCAAACGAATTCCCGTCCGATTTCTAAAGATTGATTCGGGCATTAGTTTTACCGCTAGATAATTGTATAAAGAAACACCATGATCCCTCGCAAAACAATCATTCTCGTGGTCACCTTTCACGATGAGAGCAAAGTCTGCTGGCGACACGTACAAAGGCCTGTAAAGTACCATCATCCAAAAACCTTGGAATCCGAGCCACTCGATAATTCCACTTGAACATTGAAGCAGTATTACCAGACCTCAGGAGACGATAACGGTACGAAAGTAGAGGCCTGGAGTGCGCTTGAACTTGAGTGAAGACGTGCTGTCGCCTGAGTGATTGGCAATGTTACCAGTCCAGTGAAGACGCTCCATGATGACTACCGACCTTGTACAATCTACTAGTGAAACGGTTCCAAATATCATAAATAAGCTAGCACCCTACCGAGAACTAGATACATCTCAATCTGATAAAAGACTCATGAAAGCATGACTGAACCATCGGTGCTGTTTTGTTTTCCACAATTGCTGACGCATCAGCAGTTGGCGTGACGGCTCCTTTACAAGATTGTTAAAAATGCATCACGCGCCACACACACATTCAAAGTGTTGATATGCTCGTACGTCACTTTGATTCGTCGTTAGGAAAGACCTAGCTATGTGGTATTCTGACTGGCACACTATGTCTTTGTGAAGTGGATGATTTTCAAGCAAGCTAGAAATTGATGTTCCCTACAACTATGCGTTAAGAGAGCTGGTTGCTCTAATGTTTGAGAATACGCCACGCCAAACAGCAATAGAATTGAGAATATAAGTTTCTGGAATTGGTTTTCGAAGTAATGCCAGATTAAGATCTGTAGGTGGTGAGAAAAGAGCACGTGATATATTACCACCGTATGTGTGAGAAAAACACATGATCCTTCTTGGCCTCGGATATAATATTGAAAGCCATTTCACTAACAACAGAGCATTGTGCTAAACAAAATTCTGCAGCCCACGCTAATTATAAACAAAGAAATAAAGGATAATCTCAAATTCTTTACGGTAAAGTTACTGCCGAACATAGTTCATGTGTCTTACTATTACTTTAATATCGATGTTTTGAAATATTCTTTGATATGTGCATTTAACAGAGGAATAAGCGCTGCAGACTTTTATTGAGCAATTTATTGGGTTAACGTATTAACGCGTCAGACTGGAGGATGAGTTAAAGAGTGCATAATATGAAGCAAAGCTTTAATACTTTTACTTGAAAATACAGAAATGCTATATACTGTATATGGTGATATTATGCATTCTCACGGAATAAGCAGCAGATTTTTGGAACGTGGGAACTAGTCTCGGAAATATTAGTATTTAAATAGATTACATAAGTTTCCCATGCAAACAAATATTTTTCTCTAATTGAGAGCATTCATTCCCATGTAAGCAGAACTTGGCGCTTATATTTTATACTGCCTGTATAAAAAGTATTTTACAATTAAAAAATGCTATCGTCTCAGACTTTCAGGCAACACTACTTTTGCAGCATTTCCAATTCACTCTTTAGTGTTGGTTTGTAGGACTTGTGAGGTCTTTACAAGCAGATCGACGGTTTATATAAGCAGTGTTTTCCTAAACGGTGTTGTTTCGCTTATTACAATGGAGTTGGGCTGTTGGTAACAAATACAACTACAAACACCACGCTGACCAATTATCTTGCATATATATCAACGTGCGCTAAAGTGCTAATCTGTAAAATCTAAATTCAATAAATATATAAATAGCGGAAAAATCAAGTGCTCCGATTAACTACTCTGAGCGCCTGCTTGAATAATAAAATGGCGGCGACAGCACAGTTGTAATTTGAGTTTTTTAAGTAACGTATTCATTACATTTGTGTATGCAGACTCTCATAAAGAATTTATATTTGCCAAATTATATAAAACAGGATATGTAAAATATAGAGAATCAACAATATGACACATCCAAGCAGAAAAGAAAACAGAAGCAGAAAATTAACCAAGTAGGATAAATAAATCATTCATGACAGTATTTTTGCGTTAAATTTGTTTTCGATAATAGTTTGAACAATTTCAATGCCTTATCTTAAAGCTCCGATTTTCTTAAAGATAAGCAACTCTGACACAATGCCACTATTTACTCGAGGCCGAATATTAGCAATTTTACGGAGTCATTTATTATTGTACGAACGCACACATGCATGTGGTTCTCAAAGTATTGGATCACATATATGCACACTTTAGTGTTCTAAATTGGGTCAATATCAAGTAATTAACATGCTCCCGTTCATTGATAAGATAGCACATCGCATTTATCGAATATTCTTTTGAATGGATGGATTCTTGATAGCGATGTTATCACACTAAAAACTTTATGACATTCGCTTGTTCTATTATCATGCAAGACATTATATTCGATCAAGTGACCATCTCATGATAATAACAATAATGGCTTCCCCAACTTGACACCCGTTGAATGAAACTGTACATTTAATATTTAGTATTAGTAACAGTATTAGTAATCATTATTGTTCATATATGGGTGCATTTAATGTTGATTCAGCGGGAGTTATGAATTTCTAAATCCGGGTAGTGGATGGGAAATCACCAAGGTCATGTGGCAGCATGTATGGCGGACAAATGACAGGTGACAAATGCCACAGGTTAAAATCTTTCCGTTCTGATAAGAAAGATTCGATCGCAGATAAATCTAAAAAACGTGTGGATTCTAAAATGATTATCAGGCATTTCTCATAAACATTCTATGCTATATTTGGTAACGTTTATAGCAGAATAGGTAAGATGGCAATTGCTCATTTCTTATCATGATCTATGCTATTTTAAGGTAATGCTAGTGATTATCGTTTGACATTTTCACATGAAGGCGTGATCTTCTTATACAATGAACAGCGATATTTGTACTAGTTAGTGATTCATTTATATACTTACAAAGAATGGCGCAAGTCGTTAAATTGGTGAGTCATTGCATTTCAAACTCCAAATTACGTAGACATTTACTTGGTCGTCTATAATAATGGTTATTATTGACGTACAGTATTGACGGGCGGGGGAAAGATAGCTCTTTAGTCTCTGCATTTGTGTTTGTTTGTTATTGTTTCGTATTTTGAGTCAACCAATGACGAGGCCATCCTCGTGATTTAATCTTCTGACCTCGTTCTCCAAGGGGCAGGAGATTAAGTGAAATAGAACGTTACATTTTAGATCCTGTAATTGGTTTTGCCAGTGATACACGAATATTTATTGACCTCAGTCCGGTTCTCGTACCAATGTCACACAAACATACACTTTTCATGAACATACCCACCAGGTCTCTCGATATTTCGGCGCATAATCATCCCAGGGTTTTCAGATGATTGTGGAAATAAAAGACTTTATGACGACGTATTTGTTCAACCAACTGTTTACAATGAAGATTTGATCAGCATGATTGATCGTGTCACATACGGTTTAAAAATGGGGCCGTCTTCCCCGTAAAGGCAAAGTAATAAATCAAATCTTTAAATACCGGTTGAGCATCCGGTTTGTCGGATTACCCCGCCGGACTCATGCGTGCTGATAAGATCCTCGACTTGTTATCAATGTACATTTGAAAATTTTCATGTCACCACCCCCACCTCCTTTCATTCACTGTCATGATTCTTGGGGATGTGCATGATAAGGGAGATGTCTCTTTTTTTGGTTCTAGCAATTTGATAATCATGGTCATGAGCCGACAGTGTATATATTTTCATATCGATATTAATTCAGATTGGTTGACTATTCGAGTAATTAATTTGCGCGGATTGGCCATATATAGTATTACGAGTACAACTATGGTTGGTATCTGCAAGCGGAGAACGGTGTACGGAACATCGAGAAAAAAATTAAAAAACAGGCATCCCCCGACGATCAATAGATAAAGTCCTTATAGTTATCTTTCAACGGAAAGTTCGACAGTCACAATCGTTTTTATTAGTCTCACCTTGTAACAACAACAACGTCAATGAAAAAACCCAAAATTAATAATATAAATAACCATAGTAATAGTGTTTACAAGCCCCCAATCAAAATAAATACTATTGGAGCTTGTATAATTCGTTTTTTTATATGTGTGTAATTTGATCAATGTAATCATACAGCATCTTTGTTTAGCAGATCGACATATTAGCTGAAATTTTATAGGGTATGTATGAATAAATGTTGCTATATAAATAAATGCGATGAAACTTAAAATGATCACAAACATTCCATCGGCGGAAATTTTAGAGATTTATATATTATAGAAGACGAACAAGACGAAAGAACGTATTCCTCCATTAGACATCAATTATATTCGTGCCGGCCATTGACTACATTGAAACCAACATTTACTCTGTACATTCGACAATTCTGCATTCCTCCATTCCACCATTCCTCCATTCCCACATTTCCCACAAGACTCAATGTTCAGAGCGTTCTCTCGCAAACGTGTTTTCGTCACTTCTGCTCTAACCGCAACTGCAGCAACATCCTATTATTATTACAACAAGAACTCGCGCAAGCATTATACACGCTCCACACTCTCTATACCCAATTACCGACTCACACCCGACTACCTTCTCCCTCCCTCACCAGATCCTTTAAATTATCTCTTTGCCGAAGGGCCGCGAGAACGACCAGCTACATTATGGACTCCTCCATCGCGCAAGGACATGTTGAATTTGCTCAAGGGACTCAACAAGGATGGATCGATCATTGAGCCAAAATACGACGCAGATTCTCAAAAAACAAAATCAGAACCACCCTTTGATCTTCTCATCATCGGTGGTGGAGCCACCGGTGCCGGATCAGCCTTGGATGCTGCCTCGCGCGGATTGAGGGTCGCTCTTGTCGAGCGCGACGACTTTGCTTGCGGCACAAGCTCTAAATCAACAAAGCTTGTCCATGGTGGAGTTCGGTATCTGGAGAAGGCTATGATGGAATTCGATTATGAACAATACAAATTGGTCAAAGAGGCCCTGCACGAAAGATCAATCTTTTTGCATACTGCACCGTATTTAAGCGTGCATCTGCCTATTATGATTCCGTTGGATAAGTAAGTTTCAGTGCGAGCGGGAAGGATCGGAAGGGGAAAAGAGAATGTAATGTCGTACAGAGATACGCGAGGTGAAATGAGCCTAAAATGAACTTTGCAAAGTAATGGCATAAGACTGTATATGCCGAAGCAAGGATACGGCTGAGCATCTTGTTATTCTCAGAATTGGCGTTATTTTCCTTTTTGATTGCTTACATTCTCACCACACTCACAGTCTCACGTAAATAACTGATTCCAATAATGTCTATCTTCTTCTTCTGTAGACGTTGGAAAATTCCTTATTACTGGGTAGGCTTAAAAGCATACGAGCTATTAGCCGGACGGGAGAATGTCGAACCGGGATACTTTCTTACGAAAACGAAGGCACTTGAAGCTTTTCCCATGCTCAAGAAGGATAAGATTGTTGGGGCCTTGGTTTATTATGATGGTGAGTCAGAGAAGCGGGAAACATATATTGTATGGTTTATCAGTACAGGGCTGATCTTGTATAAATAGTGTCCTTACATTCTCGTCTTATGTTCTTCTGATTTGCTTTCTTGTAAAATTCTATGCTAAACAAACTTATCCAACTAGGCCAACATAACGACGCACGAATGAACGTTGCTCTCGCTTTAACTGCAATTACGTACGGCGCGGTCATAGCTAATCACGTTGAAGTCACCCGCCTTCTCAAAGACGAAAATGGCATCGTTTCTGGTGCTCACGTAAAAGACATATTAACGGGAGAGGAGTGGGATGTGAAAGCTAAGGGTGTGATTAATGCTACTGGACCGTTTACTGGTGAGTTTTCTAATGAGATTATAATAGGTCATATATTATGGAAGTTGAAGAAAGTCGATACGACATATGCATGGCGCGTTCGCAAATCGCCCGTACTAATGTTCTTGTATCATATGAATACTAGATAGTATTCGTAAGATGGATAACCCTACGGATACAAACATAGTTGCCCCAAGTTCGGGCGTCCACATCGTCCTTCCTAACTATTACAGCCCTGGCAACATGGGATTGATCGATCCATCCACATCCGACGGACGAGTGATATTCTTTTTGCCGTGGGAAGGAAACACTATCGCTGGCACCACAGACTCGCCCACGGTAGTAACTTATGCTCCTCAGGCGAGAGAGGAAGAGGTACAATGGATATTGGACGAAATCAAGCGATATTTGAGTCCTGGTAGGTAAAAGTTGTAAGATCAGAGATATGCAAGTTTTTCGAATAATCATTGGGTCTAACAAAGAATTCGCGCAACTTTTTTTTTCTAGACGTAAAGGTTCGCAGAGGCGACGTGCTTGCATCTTGGTCAGGTATCCGACCACTCGTTCGTGACCCAAGCGCCAAGAACACTGCAGAGCTTGTGCGAAATCATATGATAAATGTTAGTGAATCGAAAATGATTACTATTGCTGGCGGCAAATGGACTACCTACAGAGCTATGGCACAGGATACGATCGATAAAGCCATCGAGGTTTATGGTGAGAATCGGAGAATGCGAAAAAGGGAGAGTGGAGTGAGGCGTGGACAATTGCCATAATCTAATCGTTACGTGTGTGATGCTTTCCAAACTATCACAGGGCTGGAACCGACCCACCCATGTCGGACGGAAGAAATAAGGTTGATTGGATCGCATGGATATTCCAAGACTATGTTTATTAAACTTATTCAACAGTTTGGTCTTGATACCGAGGTATAAAAAATTCTACCAAATCTTTTACAAATCTCTTGGTTTTATTGAACGTGCGTTCACACACTCTTTCCCCCCCCCCCCCTTCCACCTTGTCTATTAAGGTTGCTCAACACTTGGCAAACAGCTACGGCGACCGCGCGTGGGGTGTTGCAACATTATCACAGCCTACGGGTAAACGATGGCCTGTATTTGGGAAACGGTTGTCTCCATCTTTCCCGTACATAGAGTCCGAAGTACATTATGCAGCTCGGAGGGAGTATGCCTGTACAGTAGTGGTATGTATTTGTGTTACCAGCTAATAAGAGGCGCGTGAAAAGACACAAAAGCCGTCACATTCTAACGCGACTTTTCCAATCTCCCCCCTTCTTTTGATAGGACGTAATCGCCCGCCGTACACGCCTAGCCTTCTTGAACGCCCAAGCAACTCTCGAGTCTCTTCCACGAATCATCGAGATAATGACAGAGGAACTTGGATGGTCGAAAAACCGCATGGAACAAGAATTCTCGCAAGCAGTCGACTTTCTTATGACCATGGGTCTTCCCAAACCAAAGGAAAAGTTGACCCTAGCCAAATTCAAGGCACAGCTCGAAAGTCACAAACATATCGAGAGCGAGCCCCTTTATTCGCGAGCTCGATTCCAGCCGGAAGAACTGGTCAAGCTGCAGAATATCTTTTCCGAGTTGGATGTCAACGGAGATGGGCAAATCAACGCGGCGGATTTGAAAAAGGTTTTGACGGCAGTGGGAGTTTCCGTGCCTGATTACGTGTTGGAAGATATCATAGAAGAGGTGGATTTGCATAAACATGGGGCAATCGAGTTTGAGGAATTTTTGGAAGTAATGAGCGGTGTAAAGGAAATTCAGTTACAAAATGCGTTTGCTAGTATTGTCGAACAATATACAGAGACAAAGTGGAATCAAAAGATTCCTCCAGGGCGTGCTGGTGGTGGTGTATGATTAATAACGGTTATAGAAATACTATTTAATATAATTTACTGTATTCAATATTTGGGGTTCCAGGTGATTAATAAACGAATACGCTTGTAATAACAAAGAGTCTGTAGTTTCCAAAAAATGATTATATAAACAATTAGATTTTCGTACAAGTACTTTATCGGCCCACCTATACACAACGCACAAAGTAGAACTAGGAACGTCCATTCTCAATGATGTAACGGCTCTCTTTTTACGGTCAGCGAGAATTGTTCTTCATGTCCCAAACGCGCATACGATGAGTAAAAAGCGCGCTTAGCGTAGCGTCGTTCCATTCAATGGAGAATTTGTTTCTATCTTAAACATTAATTCATAATCCGTGTCCAGAACAAAATTACACTTTACTATGTAACTTCTTCATAAGACTTGTGAACGTCGAAAAATAAATCTCCAAAATAAATCTCCTCAATAGATTAACACTCATTTTTAACGCACATCACTTAGCAACGGTCTTCTATGGGTGTTACCTTTTGAAAAGCAAAAATTGTATTGTTAAGTTCAAGATACAATGGTCAGTTAATTATTGTATATTTATTTTTATTCATCGCTAAAATATTTTGTTGTACTAATTATCCTTGTTCATTGCCATCGTGGTAACTCTGATAGTGAGTGTGCTAACTAATTTGGTAGGAAAGAAATCAAGTGCTAACTTTCCAATTTTTTCAATGCAGCTAATCCGCATTTTAATTTACTTGCTGTCTGGATAATTTAAGGTTTAAATTTGATATTTGTTAAAATTGACTCTAATCTTTTTGTAAAGGATTTGATACATATCAACATACAGACATTTTTATGCAAAAAATTACAAATAAGTGCTATGATAACCATTAATATCATACAAGAAGCTCTTGATATAAGAAATTCGAATTTGTTGGGTATATTGAGAGCCACTTAGATTTAGTTGGAAAAGAGAATAAACTTGTGTAAATGTAACTATTGCTATATCCATAGTTTATGGGTCACTAAATCATAAAACAATAATAGATAATGTTAACATTAATCAATTTTATTTATATCAATGTGTAAGTAATTGCTGTCTCCATACCTGCAGCTGAATCATAACTGTTTCTTGGTTTAGGCAGATCTCCAGTAGTAGTAGGTAAGAGTATACTAGAATATTTATTCTCCTTCTCGAGATGTGATAAGGGTTTTACATCATTATAATAAACGGAATTCCATGTGTTGTCATCAGAATTGTCCATGCCCACCTCTTTAATAAGATTGTCAATATAATCCCAAAGTGAAGATGCATCTGGACGCTTGTCAGGATCAGCATCACAACACTGCTTGGCAAGTTTCTTGTATTCCTCTGGTGCAGAATCAGGCATCAGTGGTCGTAGTCCGCCCATAATGTTGCATACTAAATCTCTATCAAACTGCTTATCTCTAAAAGGCGGTTCACCAGTAGCAATTAAATACATAATGATACCGAAAGAATATACATCTGATTTCTGAGTAAATTTGCAGGTATAGAAGACTTCCGGTGCAATAAAAGGTAAAACACCTCGAATGGTTGAATTTGACTCGCGTGAATTCACTGATCGCGAGAGACCAAAATCGCATATTAATGATGTACCATCACGCAAAACGATGTTTCCGCCATGAAGATCACAATGAACTAATCCCGCGCTATGGATATTGTACAGAAATAATGCAATATACCGCAGATGATCTAATTTCATGCTCCATGTCAATTTGTTAATATTTTGATCTAAATAAGACAGAAGACTACCATTGTTAGCATATTGCATAACAATCATGTACTCTTTTGTTTCTGGGTCTTGTGTGACTCCATAAATTTGAAGAAATGAAGAATAAATGCTGTTTATGCACTTGGCATGATTTCTGAACTATTAAATAAAAACAAATACAGAGTCAGATTGAATATACTTTAATTAATAACATCAACGAAGTGCTTACCTCGGAAATAAATAATTCCGGCGTTTCATCAAAACTCTTAAAACGTTTGAGTACAACAGTTGTGGCCCAACCACTTCTCCTTTGTATTTATATTCGGCAGTATAAACTGTCCCGTAACCACCAGATCCGATCTTTTTGAGTTCGTAAAAGTCGCTATACTGCATGTACTTCACACGTTTGTTAATTTGCATAAACTTGTCCAATAGTGCATGTACGTCGTGGTAGAAAACTCCCGAGTAGTTGGCTTTGAAGTAATCCCAATTATCCAGATATTCTCGGGTGTTAATATCGCGGGGTATTTATTAGTCAACTATTTGAGTAAACAAATACAGTCGTTACGACAATAATCTGTTTTTAAACGTACAATACACACGTTAATGATACAATTTGCATTTTACACGCAATAGTAAAATAATTTACCTGATGAAAATCAAATAACTGATTGTTCTGTTCGTCAACTACCATTTTGAGTGTCACACGTGTCAATTCATTTGTTGTCGGTTCTAAACATTCTGCTATATGGGTGCATCCATGCCGTAATGATGTCATCTCTTGTACGTTTGTCAATAGAGAGTATTCAATCCAGTGTACATAGGCATCATATTTATTCCTTGTATTACTCCATGATTCCATAATAAATGAATCCAGAGACTTGTTACCCGTAGTCCAATCGACAGGTTGTGGTGCTTTACAACGATAACAGAATGCATTTATATTACGTTCAAGCACTCCTCCACATGCCAGACATAATCCATGCCCATTGCGCTCTTTTATCAGACAATACTTCTGTTCCCACTCACTATATGTGAATCCGATGGTAACCCAAACATCCGTGGTAAGAATATCTAGATGCTTATCACATAACTAGTGGAAATGATACATAATAATAAGTCAATAATTATTTAAACTATTCAATAAACATGACGCATAAGTAATTAGTT